ATTAGATTTTTTTCATACTGTGTATCTGGGAAGAAAAATAAGGTATATTGTAAGTATCTAAAGTGCTATCCTCATTTTTCCTTTACTGTAGTAAGTATATGCTTTGATATATTAACTTTCAGTTATATATTTACGTTGTCTGTGCACAGTGAGATCAGGGAAACAACAAACTTAAAAACCAACATGAATAATAAAAAATTAACATATTGTTATCAGTTAAAAAGCTGTAAATGAAGAATTTATTTAATTAAATTACATTAGATTAAATGTCAAAAAAGGCACATGTTCTTTGAATAGGTCTGTTTTTTCTTGGTAACATTATTATGCATGTAAGAAGACCAATTCATCAAAAGCAGTAGTTTTACATAACAAGGTGTTAAATATTCACATGTAGAGAATCACATACTGTTACAAAACCTGAGAAATAATACAGTACAATTTGGAAATTAAGAATATGTACCAGCCATAAATGCCAAACAAATAATATAAGCTACTCAAAAAAAAAAAATATTGAAACATACCTACCACTGTATGGGATTCATATCACAGTGTTATCCATAGTGTTATCCTATGTGTCCATGCACTCTAATTCAGGCGATTAGCATGTTTTGAGCTTTAGCATCTAGGAGCAGAAAAAAAAAAATGTTTTTGTAGAATTTTTTGTAGAGTATTTCCTGCAGAAAAAAAACACTAAATTCTGCTAAACACTACTAAAATTCTCCTAACAGCTTTTATAGAAACATTGGAAAGTTGGGGCAGAAAAAGTCTGCACTTTTTTTGTGTGTGTGTGTGTGTGTGTGTGTTTTTGTGGGGGGATGTTTGTTTGGGCTTTTTTTTGTGGCTTTTTTTTTTGTTTTGTGTTTTTGTTAACTTTTGTGTCTGAGTATAGATCTATGCTTGTCCCAAGCACGTTTGAAGCTATTTACTGTTGGCCTGTTGGGAGGGCCTCCCCTCTGATGATGTGCTGGAGCACGAAAGGCCTTAGGAGGAGCCAGCAGAGCGTGACATTTTAGCCGCCCGGAGCCACGAGGAGGCCCGGCGGCCATATTACTTTTGGTCAGTTTACCATTTTATCACACTATTCACTGATCAGTGTTTTCTGCCCTGTTTTAACATTTGGGAATATATATATTTTTGGAAATAAATGTTTTTACTCATCATACTACACTATGGAGTTTTTTTGGCTCCTATTTGGAGCTAATTAATTTTCTGGATACCATACTTATTTTGGCCACCGGAGGGAGTTCCTCGCCTTCTATTCATTTGATCTAAAGGGGATCTCTGGATCTGGATGCTGTCCAATTCACCAAGATTGCCTGCTCCTGGATACCCATTGTACCCGCTTGATGAGTGATTCCCAGGGGTCATACTACATATGCGCTTTATTTAGCGTGTCCGGTGAGTGCGCAATTTTACCGTGGGATCCTGGGCTTATTAGCTTCTATGCAAGATCCTGCGTCTGTTTGTCTGGACATTACATTTATATCTATTTTATTTTATGTTCATAATTATTACTATTTCTGTTACACATCATAGTGTGCTTTCTGATCATTTAAGATACACATGAGCATATAGACCCTATGCTATATCTATCAGCGCCGCACCTTTTATATTTTTTGTGTATGTTTGAAGGTTTTGCTGGGATTGCCTTTGGGTGCATTGGCTGCTGTTGAGAGAGCGCTCACTTTTCATATATATATTTTTATACTGATCATCAGGGCACTGATGATCAGTGACCAACAGTGCCGCCCAGCAGTGCCTCCCACCAGTGCCCAGCAGTGCCACCCATCGGTGTCCCCCAGCAGTGCCACCCATCAGTGCTGTCAAGAAGTTGCGCCCATTAGTGCCTAGCAGTTCTGCCCAGCAGTGCCCAGCAGTGCTACCAGTCAGTGCTGTCAGTCAGCACCGCCCATCAGTGTCACTCATTAGTGCCGCCTATCAGTGCCCATCAGTGCCACCTATCAGTGAACATCATTGCTGCATATCAGTGTAGCATCATCAGTGCCTCCTCATCAATGCTCACCAGTGCCGCCTCATCGGCGCCACCTCATCAGTGCAGCCTATCAGTGCTGCCTATCCATGCCACCTCATCAGTGCCCATCAGTGCTGCCTATCAGTGCAGCCTCATCAACGCACATCAGTGAAGGAGAAAAATTACCTGTTTGCAAAATTTTATAACAGAAACAAAGAAAAACTTTTTTTTTTTCAACGTTTTTGCTCTTTTTCTGTTTATAGCACAAAAAATAAAACACCCAGCGGTGAGTACATACCACCAAAAAAAAAAAGCTCTATTTGTGTGGAAACAATTATACAAATTTCATATGGGTACAATGTTGCATAACCGCGCAATTGTCATTCAACATGCGACAGCACTGAAAGCCGTAAATATTGGCCTGGCCAGGAAAGGGGTATAAGTGCCCGGTAGGCAAGTGGTTAATATAATAATAAAACATAATTATACATTATTTGCTTTACAAAGACCCAGCAGTAATTAAATATCACCAAAAGAAATCTCTATCTGTGTGGAAAAAAATGATAAAAATTTAATTTGGGTACAGTATTGCATGACCATGCAATTGTCATTCAAAGTGTGACAGCGCTGCAAGCTAAAAAAAAATTGGCCTGGGCACGAAGGGGGTATAAGTGCCCAGTAGGCAAGTGGTTTTAAAGAAGTGCAATGGTTTAAGTTTCTTCTGAACAACCATGCCAGTTATTCTTTGAGTAATTTGCAGGCATATGCTCTTTCTACAACAGAAAGTCAAGTATTAGTAACATATTTGCCTCTGTTATACAGTTCCCAGACTCTTGACTTTGCCATTTAAATTGTCATTTTTACAGTGAATTTTTATATAACCCAGCATTGGATTCTGAGGTAGGCTTGGCTCCAGCAGCAGGATCCAGTGGGAGTTCATTTATGAAGGAAGTCATTAAAGGTTTACCTGTAGTTTCACCTATAGAAGCATCATTTCCCTTAAGGCTAATATCGCTACCAATATTTGGATGCCCCCAGATGCTTTATTCTCAGAATTGGGATGCTACCCTGCAACTCCAGGTGGAAAATTTACATAAGATGCCTTCAAGATGCAGAAAAGTTTTAAAGCAGATACAGAATGCTAGAGAGGCCTGGCCTAGTGACTCTCTGGGTGCAGAGTGTGCATTCGTGAGAGCTTGCTAGCAGCAGACAAATTCAGAATCAGTTATCCAAGCAAAGATGAGGGCGGTGAAAATCAATAGTGAATCGATTATCCAGCCAAGTCAGTAGCATCTCTTTTATTCAAACAAGATTCAGGACAGGCAGAAATCAGTACTGTGTACAGATAGTGATCAGCAGTGTATTCCGGCTTTCTCAACTTTTTCAACACAGAGGAACCCTTGAAGTAACTTTCAGTCTCAGGGAAAATCAATAGTGAATCGATTATCCAGCAGTCACATTCTTAGGCTTGCAAGGGTCAGTCCTGTTGAGCAGTCTGCAATCAGTAGCATCTCCACAGAACACTTTTTTCAAACAAGATTCAGGACAGGCAGAAATCAGTACTGTGTACAGATAGTGATCACAGCAGTGTATTCCGGCCTTTCTCAACTTTTTCAACACAGAGGAACCCTTGAAGTAACTTTCCAGTCTCAGGGAACCCCTGCTAAAGATTACTATATCGATAACTCATAATACTTTAGTGTGATGGTCAGTGGGAAACTAGATGACCAGCAGAAACAGAGGAAGCCACCACCCAAAAGCATTCCGGGATGAATCCATTCCAGTAGACTATTGTTAATAAACAGAGGTTTAGAAGTGACGATGATACCCAGGTTGACTGGTTTCAGCAAGGAAAGATGGAAAGAGTGAAGGGAGATAGTTTAAGCCAGAAACAAACAGGGTTCATCTTTTCATGCTTTTGAAAGGTCCAGTACATGTTGGTGCTAGTTTCTAAAAGTGGACCTTAAGAGAAATAAGATAGATAGCCCACCAAATAACCAACTTTGAAAGTTGGAGTAGCTGAAGATCACTTATCAGCAGAAGCGTTCTGGGAGGAAGAGGCTGTTATGCAAAGATTTCTAAAATGGCAAAAAAATGCCAAAACTTTGTTGACCACTGGAAAAAGAGAATTGTGAGAAGAAAAACATCAGGTCCTGCAATGGATTCCATAAGCCCAAAAGAAGGATAAACACACCTGGAAGAGGAATACATCCTAATGGTATAGGCAAATTCTGTTCACAAGACAAAAGAGATCCATTCAAATTGCCTATAGGAGATGAAGCAGTGGGGGAAACCTTCTAGAAACTGGTTAGTGTACTCTTGGGAGATAAATTTAAGAGACAGGTCAATTTCCAACAGAATCAAAGGCCTAAAAAAAAACAAGAGATGAACTGCTCCCTGGACTTCTGATCTTCAGATAGGGTGCCAAAGCTCCATTGGTGAAACAGGGCAGAGGAGCAGGACAAGACAGAGAGAAAAGACCAGGCAGCGCCAAGTTGCTACCACTGGTCAAAGTGGAAGGACGTTGCTAACAGTGCAGGGTCCATCACTCAGCAACTGCCAACACTTAATCTAAGGAAAAGAAAAAGACTGAGAAGTGGCTGAGGCAGTAAGATGCAGATGCCAGGTGAGACACAGTTGCCAGGCATCCATGGCATAGTTTTTTTGCTAAGAGATCTATAATCGCTTGTGCTCTTTCTGACGTAAAGCTCAGAAGTGCAGTGAGATTGCAGACTAGTGCTTTTTATAAGACCCATGCCAAATAGTTAAGGTCTGTCCTTTGTGCATTAATTAGATGTTTTGGTTTAATGGGTTGCAAAGAAAACAATTAGGAATCTATGTATTGGCACAACAAATCTTCATGGTAATTTGCCTAATATGTTTTTTTCTTAGGATCATCAGCACCATCTAGTGACTGAGATACTAACAATCGTAGGAAATAAACATTAACAGCTTCCCATCCACCCTAGAGCAGAAAGACTGCTACAGGGCTGCATGGGTGCGCAAAATCACACATATATACATACGTGATTTTGCATTTCCAGGTAAGGAACACGTGCGAGGCGGCAGCACGCCCTACCTGCGCCTTCATTCTCGGCCGCGGCTGTCAATTACTGGGTCCTGGCTGGTGATTACTAGCTGGCACCTGGTGATTGCCGAGGATCTCCGACAGGGAGGAGAACTGTTTGTAAACAAAACAGTTCTCCTCCCTGTCAGCTAGTACACACTGCTTTGCATGGCTGTGCCCAGCACAGCTATACAAAGCAGTGTGCTTACAGTGAAGCAAAAACACACTTCACCATAGTAAAACACACCCAGCACACAGTTAACCCTTTGATCGCCCCTCATGTTAACCCCTTCCTGCCCAGTGCCATTAGTACAGTGTCAGTGGTTTTTTTTTAGCACTGATCACTGTATTGGTGTCACTGGGGATGTCAGTGACACCAAGTCAGTTCCCCCCAGTGTCAAAATGCCCACCGTAGTCCCACAGTCCTGTTATAAGTCGCTGATCACCACCATTACTAGTAAGAATAAAAAAATATTTAAAAAAATTCCAGTATATATACTGCCATTTTTAAACACTATAATTTTCACCCTAAACCAATTAATTTACACGTATTGTGATTTTTTTTTTAGCAAAGACATGTCGCAGAATACATTTTGGCCTAAATGTATGACGAAATTTGATTTTTTTAATTTTTTTACTGGACATGTTTAATAACAAAAAGTAAAAAGTGTTTTTTCTCAAAATTGTCGGCCTTTTGTTTTTATAGCGCAAAATATTAAAAAACGCACAGGCAATCAAATACCAACAAAAAAAAGCACAATTCATGGAAAAAAAGTACATAAATTTAATTTGGGTGGAGTATTCCATGACCGTGCAATTGTCAGTGAAAGTAACGCTGCACCGTAATGCAAAAAATGGCTTGGTCAGGAAGGGGGGAAAATCCTCAGGAGGCAAATTACCATGAATATATTGTTGTCCCTTTGTGAACACACTTGCACAGATAATTTTGTTTTATACATAGATTCCATAATCTAGCTTGGCATAGCTTTGTTTTTTTGACCTGCAGGGTGGAGAGGTGCCATATTAACTCTTTATAGGCACACACATGGCTCAAAGTAGCAGAGTTTTTGTGAATTTCCTTGCAGAATCAGCAGTAGCAAAATTTGACTGTGCATGGCTGTGCATGTTTGGATACATGCAGGATACTGAAAGTCATTACAGGCTAAAAAATGAGCAATAATGTGTTTGTAGAACCTCATAAAGAAAGGCTGTTCCTGAGATGGTGAGGTTGCTAGCAACCCTTTGTATTTTGAGTTGTGGCTCCTTTACAATTACCTCTGCAATAGTATGTGAACTAAGCCAACCAACTGTGCCTAGGATGTTTAGCAGGCCATTGATGCTATTATGGACCTTGTGCCACAATAAATCTACTTTCCACAGACAGCTCATGAATGGAGAGACATCAAGATGGCTTTTTACTAACCTCAGACAGAGAATAAAGAGAAACATTCAGGTTTCTGAAGATCAGTTCATGATATATACAGCCTACCCCATACAACTCTTTTTTTGGAAATTCAAAGTAGCCAATTGCCATATGGCTTGCTTGTTGATAAATTTCATTATAGGGATTTGGTAAAAAACTAAATAAAGAGGAAATTTGTGTAAATTTATTGAAGATATCAAAATATTTACATTGTAATTACACCCAGTAGATAGAATGCTCACTTTAGTATATACAGTACATTTAATCCGTTCTCACATAAACTAAACCTGGCCACATATATTAGCATCATGTTTGGACCTGCAAATGCAAAAACATTTTTTGAGGGGGGTGGTTAAGATGTGGCTTTATTCATTTAACAATAGCTGTCTATTTGTTGATTTCTGTTCTAGGGGATGCAGGCTATAGTCAGCTCACCTGGCTTATGACTCCAAATAGACACCCCTGTGCTGCAGTTGAACAGTGCAGTCTTCAATAACTCATTACAGAGAACTTGGGCTATTTGACTTCAATTCCCAGTTTATCTGCCTGTCCCAGTCTAGGGACAGGAAGCATTACCTGCTCCAGATGTCCGCCTCCACAAGCCAGAACACAGAGCCTGGATACCTGGTAAGTGGGAGCTGGTTGCCAATTTATGTATGTACGTGTTGATTATAAACATTTTGTGTTATACTTTTACCTAGCCCACAAACTTTTTGCAAAACAATATTGAAGCCAAAAAAAAATCTCTTTTGCTGTTTCTTTCTCTTTCTCTCTCTTTATAAAACTCTCTCACTCTTATTATATATCTTTCTTTATATACAGTATATTATCCAAACGTGTGTGTACAGTACATGGTTGGGTAGCATTACTTTCCAGTTTGGTCCTTTTGTACTGTTTTATGGCATTCAAAAACACTTCCCATGAATTAGATTGCATGTTTTCTTTTCAGTAACTATAGTTGTTCCTACAGTTTGTGTGAAATGCTCATTAGCCATTCCTAATTGGCCATGAATGAGGGTAAGCAAATCTGCCGGTACCTCAAACCTATTGCACTTTGAGGTTCGTTAAAATTGAGCTTCCAACACTCTGCAGTCCACCCAACCCAAACTGGGCAGGAACCACGTTGAGGTCTAGGGTAGGTGAATGTTGTAATTCAATTCTGAACATTTTCAAGGATACTAAACAAGCAACTGTCAAAAGGGTAATAAAGTGAATAGCGAGCATAAGGAACAAATGTAAAAAGCAGCTAGCACAACGTGGCAAACCCTCCCTCTCCACCAAACAGAAAATAATAATAGAAAAGTGCAGCGCTAAAGAAAATGAATAAATTAAATAAATTAAAATAAAAACCTGTATCATATATATGAATCGTAAATGTACAAGTGATATACAATAATAAGAATCCCCAAGCAGGGAAAAAATATTAATAGTCCCAAATATGTGATCAGCCAAGCAGATATAAATCAGTGACTTCTGTGATTTCCATGTTAAAATAAAAATCACTATTTATAAATTGTAGACGTACAATAATTATGGAGTCCCCAGGCAGGGGAAAGATAATAATAGTCCCAAATATGTGAAGTGATCGGCTGGAAAAAATATAAGTATAAGTGACTTCTGTGACTTCCGTGTTAATCCTCCACCATTATGCACTCACTAGAAGCAAGTAGCAAACCAGCATGAGAATTGTCAAAAGCGGCTGGTGAGCAGGGCACTGTGGGACATACACATGCCAAATAAATATTTAAAATGATTGTAAATCCTCACCTTGTAAAGCAAATTATTCAGTTTAAAATAGAAATGAAAGGCAAAACAATTGTGTATAGATATAAAAAGAAATTACAAGTACCTTTTTTCCTGTCTTTATAAGTGATCACATATCCTTTGTTCTCAGGATTTGTCCTAAGGGAGGTGAAACAGTAGCACACTGATCTTCCCGGTGAAAGGATGTGAGGGGGGGGAGTGTGTCAGGTCAAGTCTAATCATTGGATGAGAGCAGGCTCAGTTCCCAGCATAGCTAGAGAACTGACCACACTGTTTTTTTCCTGCTTAGTGTGGTCAGATTTTAATAAAAAAGCAGAGGGACTGGCAGGAACACCAGGGATTTCACACACAGGAAGCAATAAAAAGAGAACAGGACATTTTTTTCATAGACGTACATGATACAGCAAGTACATATCAGGAATATGATATGTTTGGTTTACATATTCTTTAACAATTCAAAGAGGAGAGGGCCTTCTCAGGCAGTTTTAAAATCAATGTTTGAAAAACACAAATTCTCTAAATAACATGCTTGGGAGATGTCTTTAAACACATAATGTTATGAAACAATACAATGTAGTCCTTTAAATGAATGACAGTAAAAAAGGAAAATGTGATTGAAAATGGCATGGGGTTCCTCTAAAAATTCCAAACAGACCCTTAACTAGGAATTCAGCCTGGGTGGCCAAGAAAGGGATGGCAGAAAGTGTGCAGCCCCCCTTCCCGTACCATCCTGGGCCACGTGTTGGCATTACTGTTACCACTGGGAGAATACCTAAAAAGGGGTTGGGGTGGCTAAGCCTCCTCCTCTTGTAAGGCATTTGTCCCCATGTGAGAGAACAAAGGGCCTTATCCCCACATCCTGCCCCCAATAGGTATGTAAAGGTTTTCAGAGAATGACTTATAAAAACACTAATATATCTACTTCATTATGAAAATACAGTACAGGGTACATTATTGCTCCTTATTACTCATTTCCAGAAATAGTTAAATGTAAATAAACACACAGACACCTTGACAAAGTCCTTTATTTAAAAAAAAAAACACACAAAAAATATTTTTTATTAATATCCCCATTATATTCCAGTCTACATCATGTTCCATTGCCATCTTTTCAGGACATAATCCCAGCACTAATTGACAGATTCCCAGAGCTACAAAAATGAAAAGATGGCACAGGGCACAGTAGGTGACACAACTTCATTGACCATATTTGGTCCTATAGACTTCAATGGTGTTCGGTACCAAGTTCATGTTTGGATAACATCAAGAACCGTGCATCGGGCATATTTGATCATCACTAGTTAAAGGAAAACCCAGTCACATGGCCAGCTGAAGAGGTTTTGATGAACTGTCCACCAGTCATGGAATGTGCTATAATCTACTAATAGGAGAGAAGTTGTAGAAGTGAATATGTCAAAATCAGTTCCTCTGAACAAAATATAAAAAAAAAAGCACGTGTGAGACAAACTCTACTTAAAATCATTTTGAGCAGCATTTTTGAGGCAACCAGGGATATACCACTAAGGTCCGCTGTACACTTATTAACATTTTGTGCATACTGTCACTGCAGAGGCAAAACTATTTAGGCTTTCACATTTACAATCAGCTTGTTTCTCAATGGCAGACATTCTACACACCTGCTATTTGTCATGTGCCAGACACTTTTTTTTTCAAACATGGCATTTATACACCACTCCTGTGGTAAATCAACCCCAATAAGTTTAAAATGCTTTGCTTTCTAATCTGGACCATACATTCAGCAAACACTGACACTATAAAGTTAGATATACTGTAGCGGCAATGATACATAGAGGATGTTACCATAGTTAGAATAACACAAGAAGCTGAATTGAATAGAATAGTCAGATATAGAAGTATGAAAAATGCCACCTTAAATAAAAGTAAGGCATTCAAAAGTGGGGAAAAATTTGTTTTTGCTAAACTGCACTACCTAGTGAGTCACTGATGGAAGGTGAGCTTTTCAGGTATAATTGGCTTTGTGGTTATTCAAAATCATTGACCCACCAGGACAGAAGTTCACTTTTATTCCATCAGTATGGAGGTGATGATTAAAATTAATTTCTTCTTTAATTGTGGCTCACTATATATAAAAAATCCTCCAAATCCTGGTTAAGGGGCCATAGGGGCGGACTGACAACTCATGGGGCCCCCGGGCAATAGGGGATCAAGGGGCCCCTGTATCCTTGCCCGAAACACCAAAAAGCCTATGAAAA